GTACAATTATATAACTCCATATACAGTTGGCATGTAGAGATGAATGAGGTACTGTGCATGTAATTACATGTAGCAAAATGTGTACTTTTATTTGGTGGGTACTTACATCGTGCCATGAATAGTGTACTTAGAAATAATTAACATAAAGCATTAATTCAAAAAACAAAACAATTAAAAGTAGTTTGGCTTTCTTGAACTAAAAAAAACAAAAATAGATCTGGAATCTTCTTTCGTTCCTTTTAGCATTGGTGCCAAATTGTTCTGGAAGACAGTTACCACACACATACACACACCCCTCTGTTGTTCATGTTTTGGTTTTAAAAAAAAAAGGCCTTTACAAATTTGAAGTGTTTCAAAACTTCTGTCTGGTTTTAGATATTTTCAAATTGAAGACATTGATGCATTTTTTGAATGAATACCTTCAGCTAATTTTGAATACATACATATATATTTCTTTATTTTTTGTTTTTTGAGACAGAGTTTCTCTGTGTATTCTGGCTGCCCTGAAACTCATTCTGTAGACCAATCTGGCATCAGATTCAGAGATCTGCCTGTCTCTGCCTCCTGAGTATTGGGATTAAAGGCGTGCGCCACCACTGCCCAGATGAACTTCTATATTTGTAAAATTCAGATATTTTTTCATATGTCTTACTATGAATAGGAATCTTTTTTTCCCTATTGTCTACAGTCATGCTTTCGTAGCTGTGAATACATTACGGTGTAGGTTTTAACTGAATTTTATTTTTAATTATGTGCATGTGTCTGTCTATGTAAGGGTATGTGACCAAGAGTTCGGGTGCCTGTGGAGGTCAGAGGCATGGAATCCCCTGGAGAAGGAATAACTGCTGGTTGTGAGCTGCTTGGCAGGGGTACTGGGAACTGAACTCAGGTCCTCTGCAAGAGGGGCAAGTACTCTTAACACTGAGCCATCCCTCCAGCCCCTGTGGTGTTGTTTTCAGAGTTTGTACTGTTTATGGTTATGTGAAAATTTTCATTTCTTTATTATTAATATGCATGCATGTATGTGCGTACAGGTGCTATGGTACCCATGGGACCGTAAAAGATCATTTTCAGAGGTAGCTTGCTCTGTTCACCTGTGAGTTTTGGGGCACGAGTACAGGTCGTCAGACTTTGAGAGCAAGTGCCTTTACCTACTGAACTATCTCCAAGGCTCCGGAATATTCCTTGATGAAAACTGACTCCAGTTCTAATTGGGATGTAAAAATATAAGAAAGAGAATTAAGACTTTAGAATGAGTATCTCCATGTTTACCCTTTGAAACATATTGTTTGAAAGTTTGGGGTTTTGGGATTATTCTCTTTTTTCTTTATTTGTTTTTGTTTTTTTGAGACAGGGTTTCTCTGTATTTTTGGAGCCTGTCCTGGAACTAGCTCTTGTAGATCAGGCTGGCCTCGAACTCATAGAGATCTGCCTGCCTCTTATTCTTAGGATTTTAGTTTGGTAAATATTCCAGATTATTCCTTGGTGTTTCTTAGGAAGAACATTTCTTAGGGATCACCTAGGGAGGATGCGTTTAGTAGGTATTACCCTGGATGGTGGCTTCGGAAGCCGTACATTCGCCAACATTCACCTAACAGGTTTTTGTAAACTAAACATGATGCTATGAGAAGAGGGAGTTCACACTATGAGGAGAAATAGGGAAGAGTAAATTCCCCAGGGTATCTTACACTTTTCTCTGACATCCCTTAGTGTTACCACAGCCGCAATGGAGTCTTGTTATCACTATGTGCTGTTGTTGGTCTTTGGAGACGGGGTCTCATCAGCAAGGCTGGCCCCAAATTCCTTATGTATCCTGCTGGATTTCTTGCTCTTCTACCTTTGCCTCCTGCTGGGGTGACAGGTGTGCGCCACCATGTTGGCTACCCCTATTTTATTTTATCATTTTGGGTAACAATAAAAACAGCCCCAGAAGAGACAGAGAAATTTCTGGGTTCCTGCAATTACTTACGTAGTTGCCCTCTTTGGTGCTAAGCCAGATTTAAAGGTGCCAGGAATGGATATCATTTTGATCAGTTTTCTCATTTGATGACAGGGGGCTTAATGGGGAAAGCTTGGGGTGGCGATTAGTCATGCACTTGGGAACTGCGAGTCTCTTCCCCTAAAGGGAGAAGCTAAACATTAAAAAAAAAATATGACCAAATGCCTTTGGATTGTTTTTCTTATGCCTCATTCAAAGTCATATCAATTGTATGTCGAGTTTATTTTATTTTATTTTTTGGTCCTGGGTCAGAGCCATCCTTTCTCACTCTGGGTTCTGGAACGATCTGATCACTCATTGTGTTATCTTTGTGGGTGGCGATGGAGGCAGAAGTTCTTAAACCCTTCCATTTTTGAAATATTTTAAGCAGTTCATAACTTTGTAAAGCCACTGTATTGAGATGCCAGTGGCTGTGGCTGTGCAAGTTTTACAATACTTCGCCTGAACCTCAACCTGAAATGGGGAAAAAAAAAAAAACCAAACTCAGTCTTTGAAATACTTATAGTTTGTTCTTTATTAAATTTCATTTATTAATTATGAATATGATGAGTTTGTGTGCATGATGTGTGCAGTGGCACATATGCCACAGCTAGAGGGTGGAGGTCAGAGGACACTTTCGTGCATTCTGGGACTGGAACTCAAGTCATCCTACTTGCACAGCAATTGCTCTGCCCACTGAGACACCCCACCATCTCGAAGCTCTTCTTTTTATGTCTCCTCTTGTTCCGGACATCTTAAATGCACTCTTCAAAATCTTTTCACAAGTCTTTGCATTGTTACTTCATTCAACCAAGATAATTTTTGATTAGTGATTTAACTTTTGAAATGAGAACATTTTATGCCATTGGAGAAGTCATCCTAATTCCTCTCCCCGCCCCCCCCTTCTTGGCTGAGGGCTATAAAAGTTTGTATAACTCAAAAACTATGTTAGGAGAAATTTAAATTTTACTTAAATAAAGTTTAAGCTCTGGGTCACCCAATGTAAGCCAGGTTAACATGCAAAAATATAAACATAACTAGAAACGGAACAGTTGTATTTAATACCCGTCAAACTTGTATCTAAAATATTGCTATGGATTCAGAACTCTGAATTCCAACCAGATGTATTTCCCGACTATTACACAGGTCATATATATTTCAGTTTTTAAAGTTCAAACCCAGGGGATCGACACGATAATTAGATTGAGAACATCTGTGGTAAATCCATACCATTTCCCCGATCGTTCCTCACGAGAGGGAATTGGCTTGTTTTAAGGCTCCCGCACATTTTGTTTAACCGCCTTTAGGCCAATTTTTGTCGTTCTTGCCGGCCACCGCACAAACACAGACGGTCTCTAAAGTGCAAGATAGGGGGAAAAAAAGGGTAAGATCTAAGTGGCTCAAGGTGGCCTTGTAGTTGCTTCCCGCTTGGACCCCGAACAGGGCGTGGCCAAGTACACGGAGCCCCGGTGGGCAAGTGTGACGGGGGACCCTGAGAATCCGAGTGTCGGGGAGCCGCTGCCCTCTACCGGGCGGCGCGATCGGAACTGCAGAGCAGCAGCCCGCGCGTTCCGGCTCCGGCGCCTAACACTCAGGCAAGCCTGCGGCCACCCGAGATCCGCAGTGTCCCTCCTGACACCGCGTCACGATATCCGGACTGGAGGCTGGCTCTGCGCCCCCTGACGCCCGCGCGCTCCCACGCACCTGCTTCGTGGCGCTCCTGCGGCTCAGAGGCTGCGACTTGGGAAGCCCAGTGCAACCGGGTCTCGACCGCTCCGTGACAGAGACGCTTCGGGCGGCAGTTGCAAGATCTGGGACACTTGCGTTCTTTAAATCTCGGGTGGGAACTTTCACTTCCAGCCCCTTTCTCCAAAAATATCGATCTCACCGCAACCGATTAGCGCTAAACCCTCAAACTTGGCCCCAGAGCAATTATTTTCTACTGTCATGTTTTGTGTTCCATACACACGTTATTTACATATAATTTTAAAGATTAAGGAATTTGGGGGATTTGTCTTAACTAATTACACGTTCAACGAGACGCAGAAGAGTGAAAACACTGTACCCCTACTGTAAACGCAAACTCGCTGGTGTGAATAAATCCATTAAAGATGACGATCCTAAAACGCGTACTTTGGGGCCAGAGGAAACGTAAAGAGAATTTCCTCCCCCGACTCTCGGTTTTAAAGTGAGCATTTCTGTAAACTCGGGAACACGCGCTCCGTTTTGAGTGCAACGCACGCTTTCAAACTTTCTGCCTGCAAAGACGAGGCGCGGAGCTGAGTGAACCACAGAGGAAGTTTCTTGGATTGTGTCGCAGAAGCGTGGTTGGGGACAGAGCTATACTCTAAGACTTTGCCAGTCCCGGCCGAAGCTGGAGTGGCTCTGAAGGGTGGGGAGCCTGCTGCCACTTGCTGATGTGTACCCGTGCAATTTGGGGATCGCACCGAGTGTGGGGCATGAACGCGAGCACAGCAACAGCAGCCGCGGGAGGGTCCAGGGCTGGTGGTCAACCCCTCCCTTTACCACTACACAATTGTACTTCCCCGAATGTGAAACACTGGTCGTGACCCATGTGGTCTGGAGGTCCCCTAGCTGGAACGCACAGGGGACCGGAGTGAGGTCATCCCCGGCACACGCGCGCGGGACGGGCGGTGGGTCCGGGTCGCCGGCTTTGCAGGTGGTCATGGCACGCTCCGCATGCACCGGGCCAAAGAGCGCTGCGCCCGCACACGGCTGCGAGCGGCGCAGGCCACCGTCCCCGCGTGAGAAAGCCGGGGGACTTCACCTCGGGGCGAGCCCCCCCCCGCAGCGATCGTGCGACCTTTTTGGGGGGGCCTCCCATTAGGTGAGCGGCAGGGCCCCCGTGGAGACCCTGCAGCGCCCCCTCGAGGCCGGGCCGCCGCAGGGTCGCCGCGCGGCCGGGGAGGGGGGCTCGCGGCGGGGCGCGCGGGAAAAAGGGTGAGGGGTCGCGAGGGCCCCGGATGCCCGCGCTCGGGCTGTGGGGAGAGAGCGCGGCGCGCGCGCGCCTAGGCCGCCGCCGCCGCCGCGTTACCCTCAGGCTCCTGACTCCGCGGCGGAGGCGGCGGCGGTGGCGGCGGCGGCGCCGTGAGGAAGGAGTCCGCGTCCGCGGTGGCTGAGGCGGCGGCCGGCTCCAGGCCGGGTTTTGGCGCCCGCCCGCCTGCTGCCTCCTGGCGGCTCCTGAACTCCAGCCCCCTCTCTATCAGCCTCTCACTCCGTCTCAATATGTCTCAAGATGGCGGCCAATGTGGGATCGATGTTTCAATATTGGAAGCGCTTTGATTTACAGCAGCTGCAGGTCAGGCTTCTCGGCGCTCGGCCTCGCGCCCGGGGGGTGAGGGCTGCGGGCGGTCGCGGCCTCCCTCAGGAAGGAGGGTGACACTCCGGGCTGCCAGGCCCTGGCGGGGGTGCTGAGGCGACGGGGGAAGGCAGGAGGGGGGTGCCGGGAGAAGAGCGGGGCCGAGTCGGCGGCGAGTCCCTCGGGCTCCCCGGCTCTCATTGATCACTCGGCTTGATCAGAAATTGATCCTCTTTGTTCAATTCATCGATCAGCCCAAGATGGCGCCGGAGCCGCCAGCCGCCACCAACATCTTTGCCCCCCGGTGTCTGCCCCCTTCAACCCCGGAGGGTGTCTTCCTCCCCACCATCATCGCCATCACCACCGTCGCCGTCGTGGCCGACCCCGCGCGCTGTCGTGGTCGTGGGACCCCGGTGGGAAGGAGGGGGGAGCGGCGGTCTCCCCCCCCCCGGGGGCTCAGTGGGAACTCGCGCGCGCTAAAGAGGGGGACGCGCCACGGGGTGACTCCGGAGGGGTGGCGGGCTTGCCGAGCAGAGAGCTGCGGGACGCTCGTCGCCCTCCCGCCAGTCACGTCCTGCCTTTCCCCCCCGGCTCAGCCCCGGCGTATTCCCGGGGAAAGTTTGTGGGGAGTTGCTGGTGGGGGGTGAAGCGCCTGTCTCTCTCTTTCCTCTGTCTCCGGGAGGAGAGAGTCGCGGACCGCCGCCGCCGCCGCCACTGCCCCGCCGGCGCGGCGGAGCTGGAGCTGGTGGCGCTGTGGTGCCGCCGGCTCCGGGGGAGGGTCAGATCGGCCACCGGCGGCTGGCGGCGGCGACGGCCAGGCTGGCGGGTGGCCCCTTGTCGTGGAGACGGCGGGAGGCTTGGAGCTCCTGGCTGCTCCCCGGTCGGTCTCCTTGGGCAGAGCCGCCACCATTCCTCTTTTCACTACTCCCGTAAGGGATTGTCAACCGGTGTGGACCGGCTAGGGGACCGGCTTCCCGGTGTGGCGGGTCCCTCCCCCACCCCGTTTGTTTACGTCCCGGGGCCAACCCGCAAGCCCCGCGCTCTTTTGTGTGTCTGCTGCGTGAAAGTGACTGCGGAGCTGGATCTGTCCCCCTTTTTTGCGCCGGGGGACTTCCCTGGGAAGGGGTTGTGGGGGAAAGCTTTGGAAGGGGAAAACTTGGCTGGCGGGGGACGCCGGTGGGTCGCGCAGAGTGTGGGATCGGCCCCGGAGGAGGGGGAAGGTGCGGGAGGAAGGCTGCAACTTTCCACCGAGTGCAGGCCCCTGCGTGACCCGATCCCGGGCGCTTTTCCTACCGGATCACTGATCGGTGCAGACAGACTTAGCTGTGCGTCTCAGGGACTTCCAGGGCTCCCTCGCCTCACTGACCCGTCGCTTGCATCACTCCAGCCCCTCACTCTCTTTCGCGGAGGGGTGTATTCTGTCCTCTCTGCTAAGGGGCCCCAGGAGCTATGGAGCGCGCGGCAGGTCCTCTGCAAGCTGCCTTCTCCAGCCCGGTTCTCGAAAGCAAAGCCCCGGGGGCCCCGCTGGACTGTGTGGAGACTGATTGTGGTTCCCCATCTCCTCGAGGGGATGGTGCCGGGGCTTCCCATTTCTCCGCGGAGCTGCCTGCGTGCCCAGAGGATGGTATCCTGCCTGCCACCCCTCATCTGAACCAGCTTCTCGCCCTTGGGGCCCTCCCTGCTAGTGCTAGCTCCGCATTCGCGGCTCCTGGACAGCCCCGGGAATCAGCCAGGTGGATGTTTTGCGTAGCCGGAGCCAAGTTGAAGGTGAGCGGCGAATGAGCCCGCAGAGCTTTGATCATTGGGGACCCTGGGGAGTGGGGACAGTTTTGTGGTCCAGAGCGGCATTGTGTGTGTGAGAGAGAGATGTTCCATAACATCTCTAGGGAACCGCCTTTGCTCCCAACTCTGAAGTGTGCTTGAACTTGAACTTGAGTGAACTTTCCTAACCCACCCGCAGCACCCTTAGGAGTCTGAAACAAACGAACTCCATATGTAGGCCTGCAGGAAACGAAGCTGATTGGATTAAAACATAAATAAGTGGAGTGAAACAACTTTAATTGTGCTTGCTTTTTCTTCCCTTGCCTACGTGAGGACGATAAGGCAGACTCATACTCGTTATGAAATTTCCTCCCATTTCTCTCTTAACTAAGGAAGACTATGTGAAATATGTATTTCTGATAAGATTAAAACTTAAAGAAGTTCGAGTATTTACTGACTAAAATAGATTACTCCATAGTGTCATTGTGTAAATTAGATTCCTGAATGTAATGTACACAGCCGGATGGCATTTTTTGATTAATTGGTCTACCCTATTATAGTAAAAATAGCTCCCTTTTACCATAATTTAATTCGTGTGCTTACTGTAAAACCCGTTGTGGAATTTTAAGAAACAAACCTTAATTTTCACTATCACTACCCCCTTGTGACATTCCAGTTTAATATCAGTAAAGTTCCTTTATTAAGGATTCCCAAAGAAGGCCAGAAAAATGATTTGGTTTCTTGAGAATTAATAGATTTTATGAACTTGGTATATGTTCTTGCAGCCTCTCCAGCCCCCCAATACATTGATTAGCTTTCTTGGGGGGATCTTGAGGACATTTCATCTCATGACTTCATTCTAAGTTTCCCTTATAGTTAACTCGAATGAACTTTCTGTTGCTCTTAAAACAACAACAACAAACAAAACCCTTTGTTTAAGCACTGTTGTTGTTACAGAGCCTATTGGCTTTTGGTAGATAACGATTTGGCCTTAGGTGGTTTCAACTGTGTCACCAGTAGGCAACTTTGAAAGCCTTACTTGAACTTGGAATGCCAAAGATCAAGTGTGATTCTGGACTGCTCCTTTATCTGGGAGCTTAGGTCCAGGGTTTTTGAGTTGGTATCTGGTTGAGGGTCCTCTTTTCTCACTAATGGAGAGTTGGAGATTTTGGGTGAGAATTTTTTAGGTATCACTGAGATTCAACTGACTGAAAGCCTTCTCTGAATCTTAGCTGGATCCAGTTAGGTCTTGGCTAGTTGCAGCAGGACCCTGCACCCCTTCAGCATCTTGGAGGGCTATGTTCTTATGCCCCTTCTTCTTGGGTCTTAAAACCACCTTGGGACTTGGAGTGGATGTCTGCTGCTAAAGAGAGTTTCTGAAAACTGGACTGTTTCCTTTCTCATCACCAACCGAGGCTTGTCCTGTGCAAAATTAGTGTGCTCTAGCATTGCTAAGACTAGTTGAACAAGTTTTGATCCTGTCCTAGACTTGTAAAAACCAAACTTTTTTTTTAATTAAGAAAAACACTATTGTATAAATTTATCTTTTAAATACATGTTTGAAAAGAGGTATATTTAACTCTTGTAACTTGTTTTCACATTAGTGGAGCTCTGAATCTTCTCGGGGATGGGGCCTGCCTGTGACTGCGTCAGTCTGGGGCGTTTTCCCTGTAGTGTGATCTCTTCTCTTGTGAAAATTCCGTGCAAAAGTGAACTTTAAAACTGTTCTCTCCCCAAATTAAAAAACCAGTTCAGTTTTTGCTGAAGTCCATTTTCTGGTTGCTTTTCTTTTTTTCCTCTTATGGCCATGCTTGAATTTGTATGTGTGTGCGCATGTGTTTGTGTGTGTGAGTTGTGTTTCCAGCACTTCAACGCTGCTCCTTGTAATAAGTATATAATTTCAATTAAAATACCTCCCTTAGTGCCTTTGATAGGATAATGAATGAACAAATGATGCAGGGCACTCCTATTTTTTTCTTTTCCTGGTTCTTTTAATATAGGTGTCTTATGAGATTGGGTGTGGGAAGTGTTATTATCAGTTGCTTAAAGCTTTTACCTGGGTGAAACTTTTTTTTTTTTTTTTTTAAAGGCACAAGTCAGTGCAAGGATAAAATAATGCAGTAACTCTTGATGCGGTTGGGTGCACTGAAGCCCTTTAGCCCGTCTTCTATCAATACTCAGGTCTAACTTGGAAATGGGAACAGACAACTCCGTCTATTCAAGAATTTTTCTCTCCTAATCCCTCGAGTGGACCTGCCTTCTGCTCAACCCCACAGAGCCCAAGACACTTACTAGTTTTAAAAGTACCTTTTCTGTTGACAGTCAAAGAAGAGAAAACTATCAGTGTGTGTGGGAGCTTTCCATTGATGGTCAAGGTTTTCCTGGGATTGTAGGAAAAATAAGGCCAGAGAAAAGTCCAAGTCTCTATTCCATAGTGAAATGAAGGAAAGATAGATTTGTTAGGGGACAATCTGTATATTACTTTAGGAGAAATGTCACCATAAGAAAAATCTCTGTTCTTGACCTTGGTTCTTTTTATAGTTTCCAAAAATTTCACGTATCTTACTGGGGCATAACATGAATGTCAAGTTACTGTAGTAAGTTATTCTGCTATATAGAATTGTAAGTGACTATGAGAATTATTTTAAATTTATTTGAAATTTAATACGTTGCTTTAAAGTATATATGCCCTTCCCAAGAAAGGTCCGATTTTTATTAGTCATTGTCAGCGGCAGAAATGTGTCTACCTCGTCTTTTTGTTTTGTCTGAAGCTCTGGGTTATTGCTGCCGCAGAGAGATAGTTTTGGTTTCAATTGAAATTCCCCTGCCTCTGATTGTTTAAACCAGACCCTTAATCTTATTTTAACATATTTTAACCATTCAAAAAACCTGGAAGACTTGTTTTGCGTAAGTAGCAAGCAAATGCAGTTTAAACACTCCAGCAATTCTGGTATCTAATTGGAAACAGGTGGGGCTCTTGGACTCTTTCGTGGGAGTCTGACCGTAGCCAAGTGGAGGGACACTTGCTGCTGCTAGTTATTCATTTTGTTGGTGATATTTGAAGAGAGGCCCACAAGCCTCTTTTTGCCCCAAACTGCTATTTACCTGAACATCCTAGTCATGTCTGAGAGTAAAAAGATCTCAGAGGCAATTGGATAATAGGTGTTTTTTGTTTTTCAGAGACAAGGTCTCTCTGTCTACTTAGCCCTGGCTGTCCTGAACTCAGCAATCCACTTGCC